AAAACTACTAACATTCCTATCATCATGAAAATACTTCCTAACCACCATTCTTTCCAGGAACACAATTAAACAATCATCTGTTTTCTCTGAAGAAAAGCTTATTTTCATAACTTGTTAATTATTTGATCATGAAGGAAAATTAGAATCTAGTAGCTCTCTAGTCTTCTTAAAAGGTCAGAAAACAGCAAGCATTTGTTGAGATCCCCATATCAGTAAAAAATAAAACGTGACCAAGCACAAAAGAATCCTGTGATGCACTACAGGGCTTCAGTTACCAACAGTGACACTGTTTCACAGGTTAGACATTAAAAAAAAAAAAAAAGGGGGGGGAGGAGGGGGGCAGGTAGGGGGAAGAGCAACCCAAAAAGCTCTGTGGATTGAAGACTGCACTGGAAGTCTACTATGTCCACCACAACAAACAAGGGAAGTTTTATCAAACCCTTTTTTTGCTTTCACATGCTGATCTTTTCTCAGAAACAGTTCCCCCTTGGTTTCTCACACTTGGTATCAGTCTCAGCTTTTGGATTCACAGAATCAAGACAGTTGGTCGCTGAGAAACCTTGCCATTTAGATAGGCTGTGGCAGAAAAGGCTTTTTCAACTCCCCCCTTCTCCTTGCACCAAGAAATTTGTGAAAAGCTGAGTTGCAAAGCTTACGATGGTGCAGTTCAGCAAATGCTCAGAACAGTTACTTGTCTAAGGAACACAGTTCACTGAGAAATCAAAAATCTGAGCTGAATTATGAAGACAGAGACAGATTGGTGGGTATACCCAGACAGACAAACATTTTTTTCTCCACGTCATTAAATTCTGAAATACGTAAGGGTGAAAGGCTTGAAAGAGAAGAGGCCAGCCCCTTCCTAGTCATGGCAAATTAGGAAAGCAAAGAGAAGGCTATTACCAGATAGTTTCCTAAACTATTTAACAGATTATTCCCTATGCTACATTCCTTCTTTAAGGTCATATGAAAAATAATTGGATCAATATAACTAGTTGATCTGAAAAATTTTACTGAGAGACCTCATCGCAACACTTGCTTACTTTTCTTAAATTTTTAATTCCTATGTTTCAACGTGCAGCAAATTCCTTATCAAGCCAACGAAACTGCGTCAACACTTCCAAATGAAATGTGAGATCTCATACTACACCTATAAAATCGGTTAAATCTTGTTTTGCTGTAACACCACTTGCAATACTGATATTTTGACAGCAGTTTTATTATAAAACATGTTAAGTGAAACCACATTTCTCCTGGTTAAAAAAATGTATGAGAACAACTGGTAAGACGAGGAAGACTGGAGGGGAGGGTGTGTGTTTTCAAGACATTGGTTCACTAACCACAATCATAAATTGCACAACACTACTTATCTCAGCTGTAGGCAGTTTTCAATCAAAACAGTATGCTGTAGATGGAAGGACTTACATCCAACAAACCTCTGAAATAAGACTAAAAACAAGGTGCGAAGCTTCAGTTTTAGAAGGCTTCCCACAAACACACATCACACAAACAGATAGTGCAGACAGTTAATTATTCTTCTGGTTTTTTATTACCTGGTCTTCAATTGACTTATGATCTGTTTCCTGCAGCCAAGAGCCAAGAAGAACACTATCATCATAATGACAAAGAGACCTTAGGAGTGATGTGGTTGTATTAGCAGAGTTGTCTGTCAAAGTAAATTCTGCTACCAACTCTCGAAGAAGTGCATTAAATGATCCTAAAAGGACAGACATTAAAAAGAATCATTGCTGCTTCTTATCCAAAACATTTCAGCTAGAGATCAGACACTACAAATCAAAGCATGTACCATCACCTCGATTTTACAGGTAGCAAACAGACAGAGAAGTAAACCTGACAAGACTAGAGTTGAGAGCAAGGCTTCAAACAGAACCCTGTGCGCACAATTCCCAAATCAATGTCCTGAACAACAGATCGGGCAATCCATTCCAGGATGACAAGCCACATTTTGCAAAAATTTGCTCATCTACATGATCACATAAATGTAATGAATTAACGAAACCCAAGAAGTTAATCTGTCAGATCATGTGACAGTGCCTGGCAATTTAATAATAACAGCATAAATCTGTCTAATAGATCAAATCAGGGTTAAAAAAAAACCCAAAACAATAAAAAAAACACATCACCAGAAACCAAAACTAAATTCTCATATCTGCCCTTTGAGTATACTAAACTTCTGTATCTTTTAAGTAACAATGACATAAAAAAACCTAAATTGGATTTCAGAACATGATCTCCGTATCTATAATGATCTCTCAATCCTATAAACAAGACTGTAACTTTATCCTCTAAGCATTACTCTAGTATTTCGTAATATTCATACTCTGTAGTTACACTGTCAAGATGGCACACAGAAAATGAGGAATATAGTACAAGACTCTTTGAGAGTCCTAGTTTTCTATTTTGAATCTCATATCTGCTTCAAAGGCAAGTACCAAAAATACATCAAAAGGAGTAAGTATAATCTTTACTTTAACGAAAATTGTTAAAAATTTATGTACCTTCATATGTCTTTGGAGGTAATAAAGCCAATATATCATAAAGCCTTAAACGGACCATAGCTGCACTAGCTTTGAGATGAGCTCCATGGGCTTTAATTACTGAGGGAATGCTACAGAAGCAAAAGAGAAAAAGAGCCGGAAATGTTGCAGTTACCGAAAAGAGTATTTTCAGATTTCTCTTCACAAGATATGTCTCTAGCCAAGACACGAAAACAGTGTTCAGAGAACTACTCTGAGCAGCATTACTCAAAGTATCAACACATTTTTGGAGGTAATTGTATTGAGCAAACTTTTTAATTTTTTTAATAAACACACATTGTTGTAAATCAGAGACCCGTACCTCCTCAGAAGAAACTCCTATCTTTAATCAGGGGGGTTGGGAGTGTGTAGAGAAACCAAACCACAAAACCCAACCCAAAACTATGTGGGTTTTTTTATTCTGTAAAATGTTCAAAGTCTTTTCATTAGTACATAAGAGGAAAGTTTATCGATTAACATCTAGTATATTGGTATCCTAGCTTTCTCATTTCTTGCACAAGGATAAGGAAACCATGAATTAAAAAGCTCGCTAAACTGGAAATCCAAAACACTATTAACCAAAGTTACCACAGTAGGCTCTTCCGCACAGGCTATGCAACAATATACTTTTACAAAGCCAGCAATCATAAACACAATGTTCATACGAGTTTTTCTTCAACATGAACAAGCAGCGATGGAATATGAATTAAAACAAATTATCTCTAGTATTTCAGGTATGGGAAAAGACAAAAGCAAATAAAGAGCAAAAACTGCCCACTTACTGTGACATCATTGTCATGGCACATTCTATGGGTGTCATCAATTTCCTGATCACATCCTCAGTAAGGAGCTCAGGACAGTGAGCAACAAAACTTCTCATAGCTAATAAAAAAATAGTTCAAATTAAAATTTTACTGATACAAATATAAAGCATAAGCAAGATACAGATCCTAAGAGAATATAAAAAAGCAGCAACTAAAAATGTACACTCAAAGACTGTGTGACATGTTCATAAAACTATATGCCAAAATCAGATTGCATTGATGGAAATCTGACACATCTTATTCATTTTCAAAGAAAGCAAGAAAGTTACAAGAGTTCTCTGTGTAATACTTGGGATTATGTTTTGGTTTACTGTGCACTTGTGATCTCGAAGTTTGAAACTCTTACCGCAGAGCGCTCCAGCGCGGCCTTCCAGCGTCACTTGCCAGGTAAAAGAATCTCCTCTCGCCTTCTCTGCTTCTAACTCCTTCAGAGAACGTGGAAACACGTTTCGCCATAGCAGCAACATCTTAGGCAGATGATACCGAACAACAGAAGGACCTATGCAAAAAAAAAACAGTGACAGTATAATAAAAACTTGTAGTTAACTGAAAAATCTGCCATGAAAGATTTTGCTCTTCAAGTTATTTTTGTCTTCCTTCACTTCTTTTCTTTTTCTCCCTATCTGAACAAGGAAAACCAAAGGAAGTTCATTCTCGTTTCTAGGTTGAAAGTGTGGTAAATAAATAGTATAGATAAGTCTGTTGATATCAGTACTAAAAATAGGAAATAGGTAATTCTGTACATTGTCATGTAATATGTAACCACTGCCAACTGTCTTTTTCTTATCTTTCTACTGACTTTTAATTTTTTTATATTACTATTTTGAAGGTAAGCTCTTTAGCCTAGCCTAACTTGTTCATAAAATGAGTGGAAAAATAACTGACAGTTACTGATTATATAACTAGTTTAACGGTCAAGTTTTAAGAAAAATTTTGAAAAAGCTCCAGAAGATCCAGTGTAAGCACACTAAAAATACATTGAAGGACAACCAAAACAGTGCTACACTGTCAGAAAAAACAACAATAAGCTGGCAAAAAAAAACGGAGAATTTAGAGAAGTAAGATGAAACACAAAATGGTATTTGCTGAAAGATCAAAATACTGCAGAATGCATCAGAACTTTATATTTCCAGTATAAAAAAATCCAAACAAAAAACCCACTATTGCTGCAAAATTTAAGAGTATACTTATAACCTCTCAAAACACAGCTTCTGATATTTCTGTGACGGCAGATATAAACACGAGGCTGGCCTTTTAAAAAGACAACTGCATGGCTTTTAAACTGATAACGTTTCTACGGGCAATTTCACCCTCTTCATAGAATGACTAAAGGCTGGGTTTCTAAAAAAAGAGCAGAATTTTTTTTTACGACACCTTCTACTATCCTTCAGCTTACATAAACGCCAGTATTTCACTTCTCCCCAGCATAAATGACACTGCTGAAATAAATGCACTCTGCTTCCCTTGGTATAAACACTCTTGTGTCAGACACTGGACTCATCATATGTAGAGACAATCTGCCACAGTGGATAATCAGAAGTGTCAGACAACCATTAAAACAAAACAAAAAGCAACTCTTTACAAACCTAAAGTCATAAGTGCTCCAAGTAAAAGCCATCCAGCTTGAGTCCGCTGCAAGGAGAGTCTGCTGTTTTGTGCGGCAGTTCGTAACAGATCCTCAGCAATACTGACCACCATCTGCACCAATGACAAATTTATATTTTTAAAATCCATTGATTTTTAAGCCACTGCTACACATCCACCCTTACAGACTATATATAAAGATGTTCTCAAATCATTTAAATTGGCATTCTATAAATAATGCAGATGAACAGTATTATGTATGTGACCATACAGGCAGTAATATTATCTTCAGCAATCACTC